GATGGACAGTGACTAGCTCTTACTCTTAGGGGCTCTTGGGATTTTTTGGAGCTCTCTCTACTGGAGACTTAAGGCCAGCTACCCACACTCAAGGAACGTCTGATCTCCTGTGGGTCACTTTCAATACCCCCAGGCCCTGGGCTACCAGGGGTCTTCTTCACCCAGATTCTCTCTTTTAGGTCTCATCATCCTTCCGGGGAGTCATGCTGGGCAGCACCCAGGGCCACCCAGACTGGATTCCCCAGGGAACCACCTGTTTCATGGAAACACAAAGGAATGGCACTTGCTCCCAACAATCCGCCTTTCTTCACTTTGCCCCAGCAGGCACCTTCACCTTTACATAGGGGCGGGGGGACTTTCCTTGAAGTTTCTCTCCCATGGCTTGAGGTGAGAAGGAAGATCTCTCCCACTTCTCCCAGGAGGCAGGGGACTTACACAAGCAACTCTCACTGAGCCCTCCCTGTGTCACCCACAGGGAGCTGATCACAACTGCAGGCAGGGTCGCTTTCATGGGCCTTTATTTGTCTTGCTTAGTGGCCTAGCATCTCCCTGAATCTTTAAAGATGTGCAGGCTTTTTGGTCCTATGCCTGTTCCAAGTGTGAGCCATTCAGAAGCAGATGTAATAGCTGGTCACACAGTAATTGCTCTAGGTGCAATGCCTGTTAGCAGGCATCTTTTCCCAATGACTGGAAGCTCCATGAGGTCAGAGGTTGCTTGCACCTTGCTCATGTTTATGTCCACCTTAGTATCTGATGCACTCCAGAGACCAATTCTTATTAGTGACTGAATGAAGGAGGTGAGAGAACAGAAAAGGGAGCAGTAGCCTTCCCTTCATAAACTCCTTTGGGAAGGAGATTTTTGAGTAACTAGGTCATTTTTGTCTGATCTCATGTTTTAAAAATATTCCCCTTAGCCCGCAATTAAGAAGATGAGTGATTGTTTCATTCTTGGCCACCTGTCATTCAAATGGTGCTCAGAGTCTGATGAAGTGAGTCATAACTGCGGACACAACTGCAGGTCGCTATATTAGCACTGTTCCATGGTGTGTAAAATTCCTCAAATGAGTGGGCAGAGCCCCTTCTCAGAATCAGTTGGTCAATCAGACAAGTCAGGAAAAGCAAGGTTGCTGTCGACTATACCTACGAGGCTTTCGACAGAGACTCGAGCACAGACCTGAATGGTCTATAGCCAGCCTCGAATCCGTCCGCCACTCGCCTGTGCCGAGAAGACAAAAGCAGTCACAGGAGCATCTGGCTGTAAGCTCAGCAGCTCTGGAACCTGCAGATACCTTGGCATCCAGAGTTGTGTGAATGACGCATAAAGCCTCCCAGCAGGAGTCACTTGAGAAGTATGTGGACTGTAACAACACTTCCTTAAGTTATATTCTCTACACACATAGCCCTGATTCCTGGCCCATTACTGGTTGTGGTCCCTGAGGTAGATGACTTGGAAACTTTAAAGGCTAGAAAATGACCTCCCGGAGAGAATGAACCACAACCGCATTAAAATGTAAACTCAATTTGACAACTATGACCATGTTCGACGTTGCATAACCCCGTGAAAGGAGGACAAAGATGATTGCCACAGGTCCTGTGTGCAAGGAGCTTACGGGCTAGCGGTAGGGAGATAAAATGTGGGGGCTGGGAGGGATTTGGTCATACATATCCATGTTGTACTTTATGCCTTTCATACTTTTTAATTCTACATAGCCTTTAACTCTTAGCACATCCTTGAGAGAGGTAAAAGAGGGATAGGTGTTCTCATTTTCAGAAGAGGAAATTAACACCCAGAGAGCCCAAGTGACGAGCTCAGGGTGCCAGAGAAGATAAAGTGGCAGAGCTGGAAGAAACACACAAGTCCCCAACTCTGGTCTGCAGCTCTTGCTAATCCATAGAGGAGGCACATCGGTAAAACCTAGCTTGGCCTTGTGGCTTCACTTTCATAAAAGGTAACAGTGAGTGCAAAAGTACACCAAAATGAGGAGAAATTAAGGCAGAATACACAAACAGGTGCAAAATTTTAGAATCGGGAAAAAAAAAGGAACATTGTTGCTTTACCGAGTAGTTTATACTAAAGAAAAAGCTGGAAAGTTCTAGAAAAATAAATGGCATTCCAGCACCACATTTGAGCATGGGGGGAGTTGAGCATGACATCCAAGAATATTTTATTTCTCTATAGAACCAACCCCTATACCTTTGCAACTTTCCATTTCTGCTGAATTATGTTCAGAGTGGTATCTGCCAATATTAGTTACCTTGGATAAGAAATGAGAAATGAATATGTGACATCTAATACTTTGTGGTAGACTGGATTCTCTAATTATTGGGGATGAGTCTACAATTTGTTGCTTCATTGCGGCTTTTTTGTTTTCTACCAGTTGAAGTGGTGTCTCTGCTTAGTCTACCGTTTGAGGGAAAATGCATTTGTTACCATGTCGGGTTGTATTTTTGAAATAAGTATAAGTTCCTACTCATTTTTTTAAAAGCTACTAATTCAAAATAATCAGGATGCCACAATAATGCTACATTCTTCCTTACTTGGCTGGCACAGAGTGACCCCAATAATGAAAAATCTTCTCGTGCAAGCCCTTCATTTCTGTGATAGGAAAACTAAAGACAACTAAGGTGAGGAGGGTTAATTGGCTAAGTCTTATGACAGCCCAGGTTTAGTCCCATCTCATAGCTAGACATTGGCTCTAAGGCAGTATATACCTTTAGAGGAAATTGGATAAAGCTGCTATTATTCTTTCTTGGAGCATCATACTGGTCAGCTTGTTTAGGGTCCATCAAGTCAGGGGTCACACTCACACCTCCTGTGAACTCCCTGGTTCGGGCCGCACCCACACTGAGAGGAGACGGCGGGCTCACAGTCTGGCCTTCCGGACCATGAGCTGAAACCAGCTGTCTGTAACTGAACTGCTGAACCAGCCCATTATCAAGAGCCTCCCTTCACTTGCTCACACTGCCCTCCATGGAGCCCAAATGATGACCAGGAGGCCAAAAGCAAGTCAGCAAGGGGAAGAAGGGAAACAGATGCTGAACCCAGCAAAAGAAATGTACATCCTGCACATCATGTGGTTCTACAGAGAGGGTGATAGAGAACTCACTGGGATGAGGAAGGTGACAGGTGCATATGATGAGGTTATACCAGGACAATCGGAAACCGAACACAGGCCCCCAAGTCCATTCACACGTGCAGGGGAGGTGAGAGACAAATGAGTGAATGGTAAGAGCTTCCTTTGGCACATCAAGGTCTAAATTCTATACAACAATCACGTCAAGAGAAAAGACCGAACACCTGAGCAATTTGTACCATCCACTTACGCTCCTGATAGAAGGAGAGCCCGAGAAGCTGTGATTCCCAGCATGGCCCCTCTAAGTGGACATGAAGAAGTGCTTTCCCATGTAGGAGTAGAGAAAAATGTTAGTTTATCTTGAGGGAAGACTTGGAAGAAAGGAGGGGAGCTGAGGCCAGGTAAACCTGGGCTTTGATTTGTACTGTGACTGTGTGAGTCCTGGCATGCAGCTGCATAGGCCACGTGGAGACGGAGGAGAGAACTGAGCAGTCTCTACTCAGCCGTGTCTACCGAAGTTACTTGGCGCTTCTGAAGCCAGTGATATCAAGACTCTGAGTCAGGGCGCATGCACGCACGCGCACACACACAGAGGAATGGGATGGATGGTCAGATACAGGAGAAACCTCATTACCATGTGTTATCTGCAATGGGCAAAAGGGATTTATAAGAAGTCCACTGGCATTATATGGAGAAGAGAGACTAGACAATTCCAATGAGCTAAGGATGGTTCTTGGGATTTGAGTCATATAACATCAGTTTTTATTTAAGATGTGTAAATTAAAATGTTTACATCCATTTACATTTTATGTGCTATCTTTGTTGCTTTAATTTTAATTGATATTTAAGAATTTGTATGGGCTGCTGGTGAGGAGGCCCACATCCAACTTTTCCCAAGTAGTGAATTCTTTTACATCAGGGATCTCAGGAGCCTGGCCCTCGTGCGATCCTATCTGATGGACTGTCGTTACCAAGGACCACATGGCAGACCCATGATGGCCTGTTAGAATATAGTGAAGTAACACCTGAAACTCCTTGCCTTTTTTTCCTTTTTCTCTACTTATTAGCTAATTCACATTTTATATGTTTCGCATGTTCTGATCTAAGCCATCCAGGACCCCTTCTCTCTCTCTCCAAAACTCTCTTTGCAGGGTGCTAGCCAGCCCCCACCCAGGAGCCCTGCTCCAACCCACTATTTGGCAGCAGGTGAGAAAAGCACAATGTATGCCTTGAACCAATGAGGCAAAGGGGGACCTTGCTTCCTTTTATGAAATGGGTATACAAATTTAAAAACTTGCACTGAAAACATGCAAATAAGTAACAAGTAGGTGTCCTGTCACTGTGACCCAATTTCAAAACAGAATGTAGGAGCCAGAACATGAAAGGCTATGAGGCAAAAAAATATCTCCTGTATCAGGCTGAGAAAACACTTCCTGACCAGATAACAGTGTCTGGTACCTGGGTATTGCTTACTTCCAGGGGGCACCTACTGTTTACCTCTAGGGGACACTTGCTGTCTACCTCCAGGGGACACCTGCTGTTTACCTCTAGGGGACACTTGCTGTCTACCTCCAGGGGGCACCTGCTATTTATCTCTGTGGACACCACTGCAGCTGGCACAACTCCACCTACAGAGAGGGTGCTGTGAACAGTGCTCCTGAGGTGGCATAGTAGTACAGAGGCGCTGCTGTGGCTTTAGCACCCACAGGTCATGTCATTTGTAGATCCAAAACAGTGGGTGTTGACAATATGCATGTGTTTGCTTTGATCTGCATGTGTATCCTCTTATTTCTTCCCTTCCTACATTCTAATTTCAAGATGTCCAACTCTAACTCCAAAGAGTCAGGAGGCATTGTACATGTGTAATGACTTAGGAAGTTGATTTTTAAAAAATTCTTGAAAATAATTAATGAGACCACTGATTACCTGTGCGTGCTTTGAGACCCAGTGACGGAGGACATTCAGTACTCGATTGGTGGCTGTTCTACGGATAATAAACTCTTTGTCGCATATTCTGTCGGTGTTGTTAAATCCTTAGGAGGAAAAGAAACACAAGCATGTTCTAGTTAAAGCCAGTCCCCAGGGGCCTGGAAAATGTCACTTACTTTAGGACACTGGTTAATGAAAGTCACAAATGACACATTTCACAGAGAGGTGCAAGTGGCTTCAGACTGTTGTGTACTCTGCTTACCCTCAGAAGTGAGTCCAACACAGTGTTCCAGGTACAACTGAATAATGCGCACATATTTATTAAAGGCACTGATTAAAGCTAAAGGTGGTCTAATGACACTTCCACTTACGCCTGTCTTGTTCTATATTATAAAGCTGAGAAGTTTTATCAAGTATTTGAGTCAGCATTAGTTTGTACTTTTTTCCAAAAGCGGTTACATAACGAATAACATTTCCAATATTTGTAGATGGATGAGCCCATATCTTGGCTTCCAGATGATACGAATAATTCATTTTGCACCCATATATCAAGAAGCAGTCTTGCCTAGTGACTAAGAACATGAACTCCACAGGCAGCCTGTCTGGATTAAATCCTTGTTCTCTTACCATGCAAATTATGTCACCTCCTTGGTGACCAGTTTCCTCATGTCCTGCATGAGATAAAAAGTGTACCTACCCCATAGAGTGTTGTGGAGATTGAGCTATTTAATACATGTTAAGCATTTAGAATGGCACCTGAAGCAATAGCAAGAGCTCAACAAATATTATCTATCATCACAATTCCCTACTGGTTCAGCGTCTACTCTGTCCTCTCTGTGCCAGCCTATGTCTCCATCTTTGCTGTATTTTCACTATTAAGAAACCATTTTAATATTTTTCTATTTTAAAAGATTCTGCCTTCCAGTCATAATTAACCACAATTTATTGGTTATAGATATCCTTTAAAAATTAAACCAAGCCTTACGTAACTTCGCTGGCAAACTTCCTGAAAGTTGCCCATTCACCCCGCCGCCCCTTTCATCTCCGACTCCAAGCTCCTCCTCCCAGCTCACCACCCATACAGCTGCCACCAGCCCCCACGTCCCACATCCAGGGGTATGTTTCATCTCTCCACAGAAACCTTATCTAATGATCTCTTGTAACAAAATTACTGACATATTTACATCCCTGGTGTCTTCTCTAAGCTCCAGATCCACACAATCAGCTTCCTCTGGACACTTTCCTCTTAGAGGGTTCAGACACCTCAAATGCGGTCGGTCCAAAAGAAAAAATCATGGCCTTTCTGCCAAGCCTCGTCCTCTCCCAGCGTTTCCTATCTCAATCAGGGAACTGCCATCCAGTTAGGTAAGTCTGAAGCTTTGGAGCTGCTCTTGGCCCATCTCTGTGCTAATTTTACCTGCTAAATAAATCTCAGATCCGCCCATGTCTTCCTACCTACAAAGCCAAACCTGGAATTGAGCTACCAGCGTCTTTCCTCTGGTCTCCACTGTCGCTCCTCCCTCCTCAAATTTGTTCTCCGTGAGAGCCACTCCCGCTTCTTATTTCAGTTCCCCAAAGTAGCCCTTCTTTGCCTGAGTTGAACAAATCCCTTATCACACACCTCACAGCACCACACGTATTTACTTTCTGGCATATTTGCAATTTTACATTTATCTATGTGATTATCTAATGAATATTTGTGCCCTCCATGGAGACAGGGATCAGGTATGTTTTTGCTGAGCATGAGCACATATCTGGCATGTAGCATATTCTGTACACAGTAAATATTTGTTCAACAAGTGAATGAAAGCCGGGAGAGTAGAAACTTACTAAGTACTTATTGAACATAATATGAATATAAGGATGATTGAGTGAAAGACTGAATGAACAGGTTTGCAGAAATTATAAATGAGTTAGAAAAATATCTATGAGCTTCTAAAAGGCAGAGTCCCCATCTCCATACTCCTCTTTGCATATAGACAGACACCTTCCACCCACCAGTGGACACTGTCAGAGAATGATGATGATGATGATGTGTTCTTGGCAACCTTGAGATTTTGAAAAAATATTTTGCTATTAAAAACTTTGAAAATCTGGCCCCGGCAAGTGCGGCTTGTGGGTTCAGTCCCCCGTCAGGGTGCCTATGAGAGGCAACCAGTTGCTGTTTCTATCTCACATCCATGCCCCGCCCCTGCCTCCCCTCACTTGCCCTCTCTCTCTGAAATCACTAAGCATGTCCTCAGGTGAGGAGATAAATAAATAAGTAAATAATAAATAGATAGATAGATCTGCAAGTCTGAGTAAAATATAATAAATATGTTTTTAAATATGTAGCTAAGTTTCAAGGAAAGAAGAAATTTTCCAGAGTCAAACATACAGAGACCAGAAACCCAGAACGGAGTCTCTGAACTGATGCTGGCTGCCCTGAGAGGGAGGCTGACACTAGTCTTGGTAACACAAGATTTAAATTTCAATATCCACGTGGATCAGGAGAGGACACAGAGAAGAAGCCCCAGGACCTTCACGAAGTGCAGATGAAGGAATGGAAAGTGAGACTCCCATATAAAGCTGGAACTCTCAGAAGATCACCCACTTTATGAAAGGATGGGCTAGCAACAAAAATTCTCCAACCTACTCAAGGAGGCAGTTAAGAAACTTCTCTGCCTCAGCCTGGATCTCATTGGGGCTGGAATAAAGCCCCCCTGAGACTGAAAACCACTAGCCCACCTCAAGTGGGTTTGAAGCTCAGATTGAACCACGCTCATGGGAAGAGCATGTTCATGGGAACCATGTGAGAAGTAAAAATAGAAAGTGGCCCAGGCTGGTGATAGCCATGGGGCCCCCGACAAAAGCACACACCAAACCTCTCTGAAGGGACACACACTCGACCTCAGCCCAGACTGGATTGCCACCAAGAAAGCGCCTGCAGAAAAACTCACAATCCACAATTACAAATCACACAAACCCTCCACCATAAACAAGGATCAGCAGACACAGGAATCAGGAACTTTCAACGCCCTCCACCACTACTACCAAGAATTTCAGGTACTACAATTATGAAAACCAAAATTAGAGTGCTTACAAAGACTAAAGGTATAAAAGTGGGAATTGAAAATATGAGAAAAGAATAACAAATATTTTAAAAGTCCGATTTTATGAGAACTATATAAAGCTTCTATAAATTAATCAATTATTCTTTCAATTATTGTTGAGAAACAGACAAGTTAAAATTTAAAACCCAACAGATAGATAAATACAGATTAGACCCAGTTGAATAAAGAAAGAGCAAACTAGAAAGAGATATGAAAAATAGATCTGAGAAAATTATCCAAATGCAGTACAAAGAGCTAAAGAGATGAAAACAGAAAAGAGGGGGTAAAAGACATGCAGTAAAGAATTAGAATTTTCAATATATGTCTAGTAATGTGGCAGAAGAAGAGAAAAAAATGTTTGAGAGAGGCAATGGAAGAAAAGGGTTTTTCAGACTTGATGAAAGATGAATCTTCAGGCTCAGGAATCACAATGAATTCCAGGCCAGATAAATAAATGAAAACCATACCTGGACAAACTGTGATGGCAGAACTCTAAGAAAAAGATATCCTTCAAGCAATTGATGAGAATATATGTTATCTAAAAAAGTCAGGCAGATGAAGAGAATGGGAGATGGAGAAGGTATATTTATAGAATAGAGGTCTCAACTGGAGTGAGCGGTGGGAAATAATGAATCAGCATTTTGGGGACGGTGTCAAAAGTTCTTAAAACACTGAAAAAGTGGGATGAGACAGCTCCCCACCAACATGTACAACTGAAGGGATGGCTAATCAGTGAGACAAGAACAGAAAAGGTGAGAGGTGGGAATGAGAAAGGGACAGAAATTAAATTAAATGTTAAGAGAAAAAAAGTAATTTTGAGAGAGCTGTTATGCTTTTAAAATATTTTAGAAAAGAATACATTTACCAACACTGTCCCTTGTGTCTGTGTGTGGGGTGGGTGGAGAGGGGAGTTTACTTTGAAAGACAGGCAAGAAAGGCAAGGAACTTTCTTCTGCTCTCCAGATTATTTAGCATCACACATAAGAAGGCCACTTAAGGGTTTTCTTTGTAAAGTCTCCAAAATTTTCATAAATTCAAATCCCAACCTCTATTACCATTTAGGTTGGGATTTGATTACACTGCTTGGATGTTCTTCATAACTGCTGCTAATAACCACATTTTTGAAATTTTGAAATGTAGATCATAGCTTGGTAAGTTCACAAACATCTCTTTGCTGTTCAGAACTCATCACCTTCTGCCATTCACAGGGCTCAAAAATTCTCTTGGAAGTTGACCAAGTTCTCACTTAAGCCACCTTCAACAGGGCCCCTGAGCCCTGCCTCAACAGGCCAGAGCTGGTGGCGAAGATGGCCGGAGCACAACAGAAGGGTCAGCTGCAGGTAGGACCAGCCTTTCAAGTGCTGCAGGAACACAAGAACCAGGGAAGGAAACTCCAAAGACACACCTTCCGCCGTACCCTTCACAGGGCACGTCATCCCTGATAGGACTCTAGGATGAACCAAAAGTAAAACTCTGGGCACATTACTTAAGCTCTCTGTGCTTCTGTCTCCTCACTCTTAACATGAGGGGAATAGTGTTGCCACACAAGGTTGTAAATAAAAAATAAAAAGTTCTCCCCTACGGCTGGCTTCATCCGTCCATCCCTTTGGCACAATGGCCCTCACGATATACTTCTGACAACATGCTAGTTATAAGGATATATGAACACAGTAAAGATTTGATAGACCTCAACCTCTTCCTTTTCTTCCTGAAGGACCTTTTTCACTGTTTGATCAACAATAGAGGTCTTAGAGAGAAATATTCTCTCAATTCTATTTAAACCACCTACAATTTAACCAGATACACAAACCACCTATCTGAAGGATGGACCTGCAGCAAAACCTGATAGATCACGTTTTATGAAAGGGGCCACTGCTAACTCACTAATTGAAATTGCCTTAACGGGCTCTCCTGGGCTCAGCTGCCGTGCGTGGGCCTGCTGTAGGGGAGCACACAGATCCCTGCTCCTGGTCAGACAGGACTGTCTCCCCATTTCTCAGTCTTTAAAGCTA